ATATAAAAGTGATAGGAACAGACACTTCCAAACAGCTGCCTCCTTTCTCCCATGCAGGTAGATCTCCCAAAGACCCACAAACAAACCCACTGAATTACCTAGCCCTACATATCTCACCCTAGAGGGCTGCAGGGATGTATGGGATCAAGTATCCAACATCCTGGGCTTCAGTGCCAAGGAAAGGAGAGGCAGCACCCACAACACACTGACCTCAACAGGCAAACTCACACACCAATTTTTTAAGCATAAGAAAAGGTTAGAAAGGAACAGGAAGGATAAACTGTGATTTGGGTTTCTCTGGATCAGTTTACACCCATTTTCCTTACAATGTACTCAACATCAGCCTGTGGTGTACATCGAATTTTCTTCCCCCGAGTACCAAAAGAGAGAGAGGCTGACAGAACCCCCAAGGTTTCACCAACCAGTTCTCAACTATCACAATCAAGTATAAAAGTAATACAAAGCCTTCCTGCAGCTCATGTCAGAGGCAAACTGTACTGCCTTTAGTGCACTGAGAAATGCCCCCGTACCTATTGCGCATAAACAAACTCAGACTTTGATACTTTTAGTTACATAAAATCTTCAGCACATAGAAAATCACCGTCCAGTCAATTATTCACTTCTACTTGGATGGTGTTCTGCTCAAATCTTGAAGTCACACTGATCTACATAGATTTCCCAGCATATTCTGACCACATTTCCTCTTGTACTTTCTTTTGAAATCCTCAAGGCAGCCTGATAACCAATTCCATCCCCTGCAGTAAACTGAAGGCATTGTGTTTCCAAACAAGCATGGCACCTATATTTATAATTTCAAACTCATTTTTTCCCAGCAAATAGGTTCTTTTACTTTGAAATTGGAAGTCTGCTCTTATCACACCGCTTAACTTGCTGCCCCCCTTATTAAAAAAAAAAAAAAAAAAGAAAAAGAGGAAGAATCAAGAGCTAGATTTATGATAAGCTATAAACTATGCTCTGACCAAAGTCATGTGGTTATAACAGTAGAAGTTTGAATGTATTTTCCCCACTGACATACGCCCACGTTTGGCATAAACAAGTTTCATCAGCAACAAAAGGCGATTATTTGGCAATTTCACTGAAAAAAAAAAAAACAAACAAAAAGTTGATTTCTAAAAGCAAATTATTTTGAGAGAGCAGCTTTCTGTCTGGAGGTGCATAAAAACCTAGGGAAGGTTAGGCTGAGAAAGTGTGCTTGGGGTTTTTTAATCCTATAATGCAACATAGTATTGAGACTCTTACGTAGCTTGGTCATATCCTTTTCCTTACTTTTGTGTTCAGCTGCAAATCTCTCGTGGTATGAGTCACATCTCCCTCACAGCACACATACAGTAGTCAGCAGAATCCCCTGAGCACACTCAGGCACCAGGAAGAAAAACTTTTTTGTTCCTAAAGTCACCTTAAAATGGGAGGGGGGAGGTGTCACGGGTCACCAGAAACGCCCCAAAGAGCAGTTTGAAATTAGTGCAGTTATGAGACGTGGAAAGAGGATCTGCCTGGAACGCTGAGGCTCCAAAGGCAGAGCCCCACAAACAAGGGGCTGAGCTGGCACATGGCAGCCCCGCCGCAACCCAAAGGCACCGTCCTGCTATATTTAAAGACAATACCTCAACGGTTAAGTATTACAGCGTTTTAAGTGAGATAAATAAGCATAAGACACAGGCAAATATCCTCGGTTATTTAATCATCCTGAAAGCAGCGTGGAAGTGCGAGGGGGAGTTCAAAGGTCAAACTCTTCTTTCAGCTTCTTGCAAAGAAAAGAAAGCTCAGCCCATTTTACCTTGGGGAAAGGGGGGGGCTGCTCCTTCCATATGCCAGCATTTCATAACACAGGAAGGAGGGAGTGCATTTACATACCCACTGTATGGAATCCTTTACCAGGACAATGGATTCCAAATCAAGGTTCAGGTTAGAAAGAGCTGGGACAACAAAAAGTCCCAAAGAACAAAGGGAAGTTAAAATGCACTTAACGTTTCCCCCAGAGCTTCTTAATTGCAAACTCTCGGATTTTTTGTAACTAAAAGTTTACTGTAATCACTGTTTTGAAAGTCTACGTGAAACCCACAGTTCCCTTTTAAAATTATTTTCCCCTGATCGCAGTAATTACTTAGCACTTTGTATAAAATATGGCACCAATCTATCAACATAGTTCTAAATGAAAATATAAGAGCAGATATTTCTGAAGATTAGAAAAAAGTGCTCAAATAAGGAATTTTTTGAGTGTGATCTAATGAAAGGAGAAACTAGAATCAAGTAACCTTTTGTGTAAGACAGTCTGATAAAAAGGTGCTAAAGTTTATTATCTTCCTCTTTCTACCCCCTACCCTAAATCTTGCTCTCCCCACCCCTGCACCAAAACAAAGCAAACCCCCCAAAAAAACATTATTCACTCAAAGAGGGAAAAAAATCCTCTAATGCAAAGCCTGGAAGCCATTCTCTAAAGACTACTTAATATGAAACTTTGTTTACAAGATACAAATATAGCCTCCTTACCACACTCAAAACCAGAAAACATCCACTTATTTAAAGAAATGCTTCTTCTATGTAGATCAACAGGGACGTAGGTATTCATTTTAATTTTAAATTCGGCCCCAACAGTGCCATATGAATGTTTTAAACTCATCTATGATATGCACTGTTTGAGAATGTTTAAACAAAGGAAGTAGGAAAAGCCTTAAAATACACAGCAAAACTTAATGGCTTCAATTTTTAAATATATACTGATTGCAGCACGGCAAAATCATTCTCTTATGCTCACAGTCAGCCTTCAGAAAGAATAAGTGCAGTCAGTGGAGTAATTTGTCCCACTGGAAATTCTGTATAAAACATCTACCTAAAATAAACAAGGTTCGCAGCAAGAATCGTCAGTTGCCATTAAGGACACACCTTAAAGTTCTTACCACACAATAACTAAACAAGTACAAACTAGTGGTGACTGTTTGCTACTTTTGTCTTAAAAGTTAATGAGATCAATTCACTCCTCAGTATCAGATCCTCAGATCATTTTCTTCAAAATGCAAGAGACAAACAAGCCCCAAACGCGAACATCCAGGCTTTTGAGTGGCTGATGTGTTATCAGAGAGCCTGAGGTTCTTGTAAAGGCGACTGGAAATATTCACATTTAAACCTGACACCACGTAATGCTAAAAGGTAAAATGCTGAACTGCTCAGAATCTGGAGCTCTGGTACTGGAAGGCAGCTGTTGTTCCCCTGCCTTTTCTTTTGTTGTGCTTAATCTCATGTCAAGTCATTCAACCAACTCCAAAGCGATGAAGACATAATTGAACAACCTTAACTAAAAAACTGATCTACTGTTCCTAAATAGCCATATATGCCGTTTAGAGATTTAAAAGAAAGGAAGGGGGGAAAAAAGAAAAAGCTAACATATGAAAAAAGAAACCATAGAATTTAAATCAGCAACTCTGGTGCATGCAGAAGAGTTGCTTGGCTGGAGGCCAAGCCAATCAATAATCACTGTAATAGCCGTGGTTCTAAAGTTATTTGTTTTTCATATTCATCACCCCAGCAAACTTAAAAGGCAAAACTTGAAAACTCAGGCACTGATTTCAAGAACGAGCTGCGAGATCTATAACCCAAGTACTTTGCACAGCATTACAATATTGCTCATTAAAAAAATATGTTGCAGAAAGATCAGTGATCACAAAGCCACATTCCTGCTACAGATCTTAAAATATTGACTCAGTTACAGAACTAGTAAAGGGGAAGGAAAAAAAAACCCTCCTCCACCCTCTCCCTCTTCCCTCCCCCTCTGCCAAAGAATGCAGTTTATCCTACTTATTTGCAACTGTCCTTTTCTATTATCCAAGGAAACGCTGAAACCTCAGTGTGGACATCACAAATTAAAGTCTTAGTCGTATTCCCAAACCTACAGTTAATAAGAGCTCCTAAGAGCAATAAAACATGGCGTTAAAGCATTTGCAAGCCATTGTCATAGCCCTGTGCTCTGATACCTTTGCAGACACAGAACCAGCCCCCACCAAGCCTGTGAGCACTGGTCAGCAAGTCAATGCCTGCTATTCAACTTGTAGTTAGGCGTTTTATTTCTGTGTCTTCCAGATCATATCACTCCTGCATTTCACGGCCTAATAAAATGTGAAGAATGATATGCTCCCTCTCTCTCTCCCCCTTTGCATCTGAAACTGCGTTATTTCCCTCTCTTCTTTTTCACACATTCTTACAAAAACTTCCCTTTTCACATACTTCTATAAGAAAATATTTCACTGCAGCTACACTTCAGTTCCTATTTCTATTTTCGATTTTCACTAGATTCTTCTGCTCCTGCCTCCCCCTCAAACCCACTGGTAGAAACTGATGTAGTTTTAAAGCTCTCAAGGTCATTTCAAAAATGGAAAAAAAAATGTTGCCTTAAAAAAAAACCTTCAAACACCCAAACCCCCCAAACTAAACCCTTTTCACATTCAAACGCCTTTCATCAGCAGATCAATAACCCAACATAAAGATTTCTGTTCCCCACCACTTCAAAACTATTACACTTTAATTCAAATACTTACAGGGAGTCACACAGCACATTTTATGGGATGGCTCATTAGAGAACATACAGATCTTACTTTGGCTGCAGGCTTGGGGAACAAACAAACAAAAAAACCCTCACACCCCAAAACACAAAGTCCATGGGGTATCACGGAACAGGAATGAAATCCAATCTTTGGATATTCTAGAATTTTATTGTCCTCGCCTGGTAACCTCTTTTGTTGTTCAAGAAGTCAGTTGAGGCTTATTTATTTATTTTCTAAACTTCCTATTCCCCTTTAAAAAAAAAAAAAAAAAGAAGAAGAAAGAGAGAAACACGATGCTAAAGAAAAGATCAGGAGAAGAAATGATCAGGAAGGGTTCGGTCTTTAGGAGACAAAGGTAAATGAAACAAAAAACTGGCAAAACGGATCAATAAACTTTTCATTAACAACCCCCCCCCCTCCTCCTCCGCCCCATGAGCCACTTACTACAAATCCTTCTTCCAGGAACATCTTTGACTCACAAAGAAATAAAGTCTCTCCTCGCTCCGCACACCCCCAACCCCGGCGGAAAATCCCCCCCAGACCCGGCGGGGCTCGGGGGGAGCCCGGGCGACCCCCAGGTGCGGGGCGGGAGCTGCTCGGGGGTGCGGGGCGGGGGCCACCGGCGGCACCGGGCGAGGGACAGCGGGGCTGGGGCGGGAGGGAGCGGGGGCCGGGCCGGGGCCGCTCCGCCCGCCCGGCCGGGGAGGGGGCGGCGGGAGGGGCCGGTACCTGCGGCCGGGCGGGGCCAGCGCGGGGCACACCTGGAGCCGGAGCCTCCCCCGCCCCGAGCCCCCGCACCTGCCCTGCGCCTCCTGCAGCGCCCGCTCCGGCCCCCAGCGCCGCTGAGCGGGCTCAGGGGCGCCCCGAGCCCCCGGCTCCTCACGGGCCGTGCGCCCCAAAGCCCCTCACGCAGCCGGCCGGCAGCGGCCCTCGCTGCCTCGCACCGCCCGCCCCTCACGGCAGGGGCCGCCCGCGGGACGGGGCTGCGGCTCGCTCAGGTGCCCCTGTGGAAGGGGGGGGGTGCTGGGGGTGCTGAGGGGCCCCCGCAGGTGCCCCCGGCGCGGCCTCACCTGCGGCGGTGCCCGCCCGGCGGAGCGGGGGGGCCGAGCGGGGCCGGAGCGCGGGCAATGTTTGTAAACGGCCCCGCCGCGGCTGTTGCTCGGGGAGCGCGAGGACACGCCCCCCGCGCCGGGGACACGCCCCCCGGAGAGGGACACGCCCACAGCGGGGGTTGGGACACGCCCCCACTCTTGGACACGCACCCGAACCTGGACACCCCTCGTTTGGGCCACGCCCCGCTTTGGCCACGCCCCTTGCGCGATGCGCTCTTTAATTGGCCTCACGTCTGTTGGCCACGCCCCCGTGTGGGCCACGCCCTTGCGGGCACGCCCCCTGACCACGCCCCCGCCGCCTCAGCCCCTTTTAGGGCAGGAGCGATGGCCACAAGTGGGACACGAGTTCCACCTCAGGTGTGAACAGTCAGGGTCTCACACCACGAGGAACTTCCACCCACGGAGGGGGCAGAGCACTGGAACAGCCGCACAGGGCGGCCGTGGAGCCTCCCTCTCTGGAGGCATCCCAAACCCGCCTGGATGTGTCCATGTCACCTGCCCCAGGTGACGCTGCCTGGGGCAGGGGTTTGGACTGGGTGATCTCCAGAGGGCCCTTCCAACCCCGGTATTATGGGATTTCTTGACTGCTGTTCCTCTGTTCTGTTGGGGTGTTCGCTGAGCACTTTGTGATTCAGGATTTGGGCGATAGGCATCGCCTGGACAACAAACCGAGAGCCAAGGGCAGGGCCACAGAATCAATGGACCTTGTAACTGTTGGCCATCAATGTCCTTGGGTGGGTCACTGAGGGAGAGGTGGTTCCAACCTGCCCCTCCTGCAGTGATGGCACCAGCCCTTTCTGCCATGACAGCCCCAAACAGCCCTTCCTGTGGTACCCTAAGAGCCCCAACGACCCTCGAGTGCCACCAGTCCCTCCTGTCATGTCCCTGGAACCTGCTGACCATCGACTGCTCCGGTGCCCAGTGATGGGCCTGGCACCCATCAGGGCTGCCCAAGGAGGGGAACACCCAGAGCACAGAGATTTGCTGTGGACATCACCCAGAAAAGGCCAAGGGTTCATCTGTTTTTCATTTCCTTTGACACCAAAGCACCAGCTGCTCTCTGGGTAGCTCTGCTCTAGAGGTGTAGATGCTACAGAGGAATTCAGTGCAGCAGACAAAGAGAAAACATATTTTCAAGGATCCCACTTGGCACTGAGGAGGTTTTTAGGAGTTAAATGCAATCTGTAATGCTGTTAGCAAAGTGCTTAATCTCTGCTAGACTCTGAGGTTAGCACCTTCTGCAAGGAAATGGGATAAGAGGGAGGTGAGTTTCCATGTGGGCTCTCGTTTTTCCCCCAAAGACACACCAAGACCTGCTAAAGTCAGTTTAGTTTACATCAGTAGGTTTAGATCACACCCAGGGGCTTGTTTCCCTCAATATAAAAATCATCCTGCCTGAATGGAGGACGTTTCTAAAATAATTTCAGCTAAAATTATGTGGGGTGGGTTTTTTTGAAGGTGGTTGTTTGTGTTTTTAAGTTTTCTTAAAATGTTCTCCCAGTCTAAAATGAGCAAAGCTACCCAGGCTGAAATTTAGGTCACTTATATGGCAAATAAAGATTAATCAAAACCATTACAGGATGTGTAATACACACAAGGTAATATACTCACTAACCAGGTAATTCTGGGAGGTGAAATATCTTTATTGGCAAATTTGAATGTTGCCTCAAACTAATTTGAAACACATTTATTTTCATGAAGAGAAGGTCAAACCTGATAAGACCAAAAGTCTAAAATACAGATATTTAAGCATCAAATCTTGGTCTTGCCACTGCTCTGAATGGAGTTTTGAAGGGCTTATTGCACCCTGCGTGGTTCCAGTTGGTTTGAGTGTGATTCTGTTGCAGTAGGATGTGTCCAAGCCAGGTGTTTATCCGTGCATGCAAAATATTCCATTGTCTTGCAAGAGCTTTGCATTTCTTTGGAAGTTGCTGCACAGCACTTTGTACTATGTGGCCAAACCTGATCCCACAAACACTCCCAAGTTTAAGCACAGGACTAGGCCAGTTAAATATTGATTATCTCCAAATGGCAGCGTGGCAAGGAGAACAAAGCAGAATTTTGCTGGAAATGGGTGTGGGAGTGACCAGTTTTGTCACACCAAATGACTGTCTTAACAATCTGTTAAAAAATTTAGTCTTTATTTTCTGATTTTAGCATTTTGAAAGATCTTACACTGAAGAGTTAAAAACAACTTCAGGGCCCACAAACTTCAAAAAATATTAAACCTGTACTTTTGCTCTTAACTGTGTCTCCTAAAAGACTCCCTGAGTCAGGTGTTGCAATATTTCTTGTTCTCATGACACAGCAGAACCCATTAGTTTCCCCCTCCCCCTTTCATTTTTTACCACTTTTTAATGATTTTACTTTTTCAGGTGAAATCTACTGACCTTCTGGATCACAAGGGGCTCTTCACGTGAGCCTGGGCTCTGGATGATTGTAAACATGATTTAGCAGAGAACACAGAAGCCGTGTGGGTTTTATCCACTGAGATGCGGTACCTCTGTGGAAAATACAAGGAAATAAAAAGGCTGTTTCAGGAAAAAATGACAGGCTCAGAATATCATAAAACTTTTCTTCTTTTTCCTCAAAAAGCATCGTATAATATCACATTACACGACTGAAATGAAAACATCCCATTTATTTTTACAGATTAGCCACGGTGACCTCTGTGATTTATGCTCATGGCACTGGAAATGTTTGATATGAGGCAAGGGCCAACCTGGAAAAATAAATCCTAGATTTTCTCCTCCTTCCATTTTGCCTTGTGCTGAGGACATTTGCTGCCTTTCTGGAGAAGCTTCACCAATCGATGTTTTATGTATGAGGCAAAAACTTCCACAACAAATGCACTGACAGACCTGTGTTTACTGTTCTGCACTATATGTTACTACACAGTCTTGCAATATTAAACCTAGCCCCAAACTAGACTTTGGAACCAGGCAGCATGCCCAAAATTGTGATAATCTCCTCCATAACAACTGAAAGAAATAAAATAACATTGCTGAAAGCTGAAAAGTTTCGTCTCAGTCCCCAAACTCCTAATGCACTTAAATGTATAAGTACTTTTAAATTACATTATGTACAATTACATTATATTAAAAAATCCATGCTGGAAGTTTGGTGATCTGGCCCAAGTCCTGCTCTTCTCACAGCATACACGGGAAAGCCCTCGCTGTCAGGGAGAATAAAAACAGAGCTGAGCAGTCAGCAGGAAGCCTTCACCTAAATTTAAAATCTTTCAAGGGTTTCTGTGGGTGTTTGTCTCAAACAACTGACCTGAGTAGCAAAACACCCCTGGTCTATCCCTGGCAGCAGGAGATCAGCCAAGTTTCGTTCTTTTGCACAGGGACTCTCTCATTTTAGATTCATATTTAGGCAGCTATTAAATCTGGCCCGTCGTGTGGTTAAGGCACAAACGGGATTTAGGGGAGCTGGGCTCACTCCCAGCTCTGCCACAGACTTCCTGCGTGATCTTGGGCAAGTCTTCTCCCAGGGCTCACAAAATGGGGCAGTTTGGATGTTGTTTTTTTCAAGCCCCTTCTCTGGCAGTCAAGTCATTACATGAAATTCTCCTTTTGCTGGCATGAACAGATAAATAAAGTAAATACACCTTGTTTAGGCTTTTGAGGAGATAAGCTTGAAACCACGATCAGAGCGTAGCCTAATGGCTCAAAGTTGTAGAATACATTTTAGAAGTCCTTTTGAAAGCTGTTTGGAGTGCCTGGGCCGTGAGCTGTAATACAAATATTCTACACTCTTCATTTCTGCACAACAATATCTATTTGCAAAATCAGGATCACGCTGCTTCTCCGCTTACAAAACAGCTCACAAACTGTTTGTGCAACGTTCAGATGAGACCGAGACTAGAAAACGGTATCATTTATGAGAAGCTTTATCAGTCTTTTGTGGCTTTTTTTTTTCTTCTTCTTCTGCGTTTCCCCCTTTGCACAAATTACTTCTTTCAGCATTATTTGAGCGAATCGAGCCGATCCCGCCGTGCCGGGGATCGGGGCTGCTGGTGCGTGTTTACAGGAAACGCCTGTGCTCGTTAGACCCGGGCTCAGATTTGACTAACTCACATGATCACATTGACTAAATGAAGACACGGATGAGACGGCGGCGATGAGAAAGCTGCGAGCAATCGGGTTCTTGCGACATCAGATAATCCACGGAGGGCTGCGCAGGAACCAGCAGGCGCTGCCCTCCCCCCCCACCAAGAATGCGCCTGGCTCCTGCATTAGTGACTATCTCCTCACCCATATTCACTTACAGCTCCCTCATCAACACCCCCCTTTGCATTCTACACCAACGAGCTGCATTCTTTATACATGCACTCGTAGGTATTTTGATGCTATTCGGAGGCATTTGGATGCTCAGCTACTTTCTGAGCAGTGCAGTTAACGCGTAACAGTTTATTTTTATAATGATAAAGAAGTCGCAGGGGTTTTCTTTCACTGTTTTGTACATCCTGTCTGTGTAAA